ACCCATTTAAGCCGTCTCCAGCCATTACATGAAGAGTTAATAACTAAAAAGTTATAAAAATCCCCATTCGACAGGGATTTCAACGCGAGACTTCCATTTGAGACTAATCACTGAGCCAACTTGAACGTTACCAACAAATGTAGCGTTACGCACAGAGACTGGCTTTTACATATATTGATATTTCATGTAACTAAAACGTTTCTTATTATAATTACAACAGCCCCTTTCAGATTTTTCAGTCTATAGAGTTAATGCAGTTCATTTTTTATCAGTTAATAATTGTTGAACATTTACAAATTTGAAAAAAGTACCATTTCGGAAATTTGCCATTACAATTACATTCAGAAACAAATAATGAGCGAAGATGTATTAGATGTTTATAGTTGCTAAGTTGCAGCTGAAAATAAAGTACTTTTCTGTCATTCCCTTTGGTTTGAAAATCATATGGTAATTATGTTCTTTAACAAGTTTATTTGTTTGTTTGTTTTTAATTATGCACAAAGCTACACAAGGGCTATCTGTGCTCTTCTCACCACGGGTATCAAAACCCGGTTTCTAACGTTATAAGTCCGCAGACATACCGCTGAGTCACTGGGGGGCTTCTTTAACAAAATAAAATTATTTTTATTTTTACTCATTTTCTGTCTCACTTTGAAGCTCCATAGCTGCCTATGTTTATTTTTCAAGCACTGTACATACATCTTGTATCTTTACTCTTAAACTTTAATTTACATTGTGAAATAATTTTAATCGGTAACTGACAGTTCAACAGTTTAGTCCACATAATCTAACACAGACAATGCTCGACACTTTATAAAGAGTTGGTAATTAACATTTATATACTTTCAACGTTAATATTCAACGTAGGCCTGAGGCTGAAAGGTAATTTCTTGAACGGGGGGGGGGGTTGACTGCATTTAATGGCAATAACCCTTACCCACACTGAGTATTTATTTGCATCCTATATGGGTAAGTTGTGTAAGGATGGTTTTGTTTTGTTTGAATTTCGTGCAAAGTTACACGAGGGCTATTTGCGCTAGCCGTCCCTAATTTAGCAGTGTAAGACTAGAGGGAAGGCAGCTAGTCATCACCATCCACCGCGAACTCTTGGGCTACTCTTTTACCAACGAATAGTGGGACTGACTGTCACATTATAACGCCCCCACGGCTGAAAGGGCGAGCATGTTTGGTGTAACGGAGATTCGAACCCCCGACCCTCAGATTGCGAGTCGAGCGCCCTAACCACCTGGCCATGCCGGGCCGTGTAAGGAAGGAGAGAAAATAATGTACCCTCAAAGAATAATAGTTATTGGGTGAAGCATTGGTGACATAAGTATTCAAGACATTTCTGCTCTCTTAATATACATAAACCTACCATTGGTTCACGTTCTGAAACAACTGTCACGCTTTTAGCAATAGCACACCATGTTTCTAAACAACACAATGCTCGTGGTTATGTTATTGATGTTAATGTTGAAATAAGTTCTGAAAAAAACAATACTCATATGCAGAGCATGTGTTATAATGGAACATTATCTTCTATAAGGTTATGCTTTCCCATTTTGTAAACAACACACCATGCTTGTACTCAAGATGTAAGTTTACAATGATGTTTTAAGTAATACAGTACTCACTCTCAATTCAAAACTATATTTTGATTCATTCTTTTCTATTAATAAAGGGAATTGTCAAGAAAACAGATGTAATGTTTTTGATTAGTCTATTATTTAAAAAAAATGTCAAACTTCTCAATTTTATTTGTATTTAATTATATTTAGTACCTCATTCAGATGTTGGGACAAACATCCTTATTACTATCATACTTACAGTGGTTTTGAATTAAAGTATAAAAGCACACTAACTATTGATGGATCTC